GGTCCGGGACTTGAACCGTGGTCAACTACATGGGAGTCCAGCGACGTAGCCATTATGCCAACTGCTAGTCCCTTTATTACTTTTAGAAAATTGCGGAAGGGCACATGTGCTCACCAGATAAAGTAGAGAGAGAAAGTCGCAAGGGTCTAGGACTCAAACCACTGTCAGCTGTGTGGGAGTCCAGCAGCCTAAACACTGTGCCACCTGCTGGCCTCATACTCTCGAGAATGGGTTTTCTTTTGGAGGGTGATGAAATGTTCTGGAGTTCGTGAGTTAGTGGTGATGGCCGTACAACATAATGAATATACTAAAAAGTATATTCTCTGGGGCTGGCAGGTGGTGTGGTGGTTAAGGGGGCTGGACTCCCACATGACTGACTGCAGTTCGAGTCCCAGACCTCGCCGCTTGCTTTCTCACTTTCCTTCTGTCTTTCTCTCTCTCTCTGTCCATCTCTGATGGAATAAAAATAAATAAAGTTAAATAAAATAATTTTTGTGTGTGTGCTTGCCAGAGAGAGACAGAAAATGAGAAATCACCCCCTGGGGGAATGGCCATGCTGCAATCTCTTCTCTTCCATTCTCCTCTCGGGATCTTGGACATACACGTACACGTGCCCGGTGTGTGTTTAAGCCACCGGGTCCGGGACTCAAACCATAGTCAACTGCGCAGGGTCCAGTGACATAGCCATTACGCTAACTGCTGGTCCCTGAAATAATTATTTAAAAAACGTATATTCTTGGGGCTGGCAGGTGGAGTTTATGGTTGAGGGTGCTGGGTTCCCACATAGCCAACTGTGGTTCGGGTCCCAGACATGCGCGGCGGCGGCGGCTTGCTTTCTCACTTTCTCTCTCTCTGTCCCTGTCTAGTCAAAATAAAATAAATACATAAATGAAATTAAATAAAACAATTCTTTTTTTTTTTCAAAGTATGTTCTTTACAATTGCAGCATATAGGGGTCAGCAGGGGGCATGGTGGTTTAGACTGACGAAGTTTTTTCTATGACATTTGTAAAGGCTTTTTCTAGCTGTTTCAATAGCAGATGGATTATATCACAGTCACTGTTTATTCTGAAAACTAATGAGTAGATGTGCGAAGTAGAATAGGCTAAACTGCCTTAACTATGAAACTCAGAAACATGTAATGGTCTAAATACATAAATACAATTATTTCTTATTCACAGAAATGCAGAGGGGGTGCTCCTTTTGCTTGCTTGCTTGCTTTTTATTTTATTTTATTTTATTTTATTTTATTGGGGAAGAAGAGATTTTTGCTATACGGTGAGTGTGCTTGCCAGAGACAGAGCGAGATAGAAAGTGAGAAATCTCCCTCGCTTTCGGTTTCTCTGTCTCTCTCTGTCTGGTGAGCACACGCGTCCTATAGCGAAAACCTCTCCAAAATAAAAAATAAAAAAAATAATAAATAAATAAAAATAAATTAAAAAAAAAAAGAAATCTCTCAACTAGGGGAATGGCCACATCGCAGACCCTTTCCCATTCTCCTCTTGGGATTTGGGGCATGAACACACATGCGCTGGCGTAAATTTGAAGCTGCTGGGTCTGGAACTTGAACCATGGTCGGCCGTGTGGAAGTCCAGTGACCTAAACATTCTGCCGTCTGCTGGTTCTGAAGTATATACTTGTTTTTATTTTATTTTATTTTTTTGTAGAGGTTTTTGCTATAGGGTGCATATGCTCACCTGAAAGACAGAGACAGAAAGTGAGAAATCACCCCCCAGGGGGGATGGCCATGCCGCAGTCCTTTCTCCTCCATTCTCTTCTCGGGATCTTGGGCATGCACGCACATGCGCCTGGCGTGAGTTTAAGCCACCAAATCTGGGACTCTAACCATGGTCGATTACATAGGAGCCCAGCGACATAGCCATTATGCTAACTGCTGGTCTCCTGAAGTATACACTTTTAAATGTTTTTTTGTTGTTGTGGTGGTGGTTAAGGGCGCTGGACTATCACATAGCCAACCAAGATTTGAGTCCCAGACCTGGCGGCTTGATTTTTCACTTTTTCTCTCTTTCTTTCTCTGTCCCAATCTGGTCAAATTAAAATAAATAAATAGAGTTAAATAAAATAATTCTTTAAAAAAAAATTTGCTTTTAAAAAAATTTGTTATAGAGTGCATGTGCTCGCCAGAAAGAGGGAAAGTGATACAGCGCCCCCTGGGGGGATAGCCACGCCACACAGTCCTTCCTCGTCCATTCTATTCTCTCTGGATTTGGGGCGTCGTTGTGCACCCAGAGTGTTTTTCAAGTTGCTGGGTCCAGGACTCAAGCGCACAGTCAGCCGTTTAAGATTCCGCAGCCCGAGCCACCACACCACTGCTAGCTCAGTGTGAACTTTATGTTATCTGATGTCTAGCTCGTTTTCATGTAATTGCTCATGGGCATATGTGCTCACCAGAGAAAGAGAGGGAGAGAGGAAGGAGAGGGAGAAGCAGTACCCAATGGGGTGTGGTCATGCCACAATCCTGGCTCCACTTCCCTGTCTGGTCAGGATTTGGGGCATTCACATACACCCAGTGTGTTTTTCAAGGTGCCAGGGCCAGGATTTGAACTGCAGTTGGCTGTGGAATCTCACTCCCTAAACCACTAGGCTCTGAGGCTAGCCTGATCGCAATTGCTCTTAAGTTCTTGTATTTTTTTAATTCACTAGAGGGTGTGTGCACTCTCCAGAGACAGGGAGAGAGAAAGCAAGAAAGCGCCCTCACGGGGCATGTTGGTGAGGGCTACAATCCCTCTTCGATTTCTCCTTTCGAGATCACGGGCTTGTGTGTGCAGGGCACCCTGTGTGTTTCAAGCCACTGGGTCCATGTAGTTGGCCATGTGAGACCCAGATGCCCTAACCACCAAGCCATAGGTGGCCCCCTCTCTGTTTTCAGTTTTTCAAGTGCTGCAGCTGGCTAGTGATTATGTCAACTGTGGTTTGAGTCCTGGATCCAGCAGCTTAAAACTTCCCCTGGTCACGGGGCTGGCAGGTGGCATGGTGGTTAAGGTGCTGGTCTCCCACATGGCCGACCGTGGTCCGAGTCCAGGACCTGACGGCTTGCTTTCTCTCTCTCTCCCGCTCTGTCCCTCCCTGGTCAAATTAAAATTTGGGTCTAGGTGCTGGGTAATAAATTGTTCACTGCCAAATTCTTTCTTTTTTTAAAAAGAATTATTTATTTAACTTTATTTATTTATTAATTTATTTTTTAATTTTACCAGAGAGAGAGAGAGAGAGAGAGAAATGGTGAGAAAGCAAGCCATCAGGTCTGGGACTTGAACTGTGGTCGACCATGTGGAAGTATCCAGTGCCTTAACCACCATGCTACCTGCTGGTTCCCACTGCCAAATTCTTTCTGTTTTATTGAATGTCTGAAAATTGTTTACAAAAAGACGTTAGGGCCGATAAGCCACAGAAAAGAGAGATTTAATTCCGTGACTCCCTGTAGAAGTGCCCAGGGAGGGCCCAGCGTGCTGCAGGGGTGGCGTAGCGGGCAGGGGCAGGGGCAGGGTGCAGACAGACTGCTGTGCTAACCACTTCTCCTCCGCACGGAGGGTTTCACACCGGTTAGGAGGAGGCTTGGCTTTTCTGAAAAGCCTGCAGCATTTCTGAGGGACAGGCAGTCACTGGGTGGCATCTTTCCCAGGCAGGGAGGCTCTTAGATCTGGCTGCTTGGAGAGGAGGGATTTGTTCAGGAGAGAATTGAAGAGATTAGGGCACTCACACTGAGATGCTAAGAGGTGCTAACGAGTTATTCCACACCTCTGTGAGGAGTAGCAGCTGAGGAAGCTGTGGAAGGCAGAAGGTGAAAATGTCTCCAGGCTGTCGGATCTGTATGGCAGGAAAGATAACCAGCCACCGCTTACAGGGTACTAGGACAGTGGGGGAGTTCAAATGGCTAGACAGCCCTGAGGTTAACACTGGAGACGCAGTGTAGACAATTTTACTACGTATGAAAGGTGAAAGAACTTGAGGTTGGGCAGGTGGTTTAGAGGGGAGTAGTGTGCTGGTTCCAAGAGTGTCCTCCAATTCCTGCCCACGCAGAACCTGAGTGTGTGACCTTATTTAGAAATGAAACCTTTGCAAATATAATCCAGTTAAAATGAGGTTATACTGGATTAGCAAGGGCCCTAATTCAGTGATTTATAAAAGAAAGGGAAATTTGGGCCAGCAGGTAGCATGGTAGTTAAGCACTGGATTCCACATGGCTGACCATGGGGTTCAAATCCCTAATCCTGTGGCTTGAAAAATCACACCAGGTGTGTGTGCGTACATGCCCAAAATCCTGAAAGAGTGGAGAAGGGATCTTGGTGTGACCATCCTCTGGGGGGTGATTTCTCACTTTCCTTCTCTCTCTCTCTCTCTTTCTGGGGAGCATGCAAGCCCTATAGCAAAAAAAAAAAAAAAAAAAAAAAAAGGAAAAGAGGGAAATTAGGATATGGAGACACCAGGGGAGAGGACCATGTGAGGACAGAGAGTCAGAGGCTGGTCATGCTGCCACAAGCTGAGGAGGACCAAGACACAGAAGCAACGGGATTATTTTATGGTTGCAAGTCAGATTGGGTTGGCAGAGAATTAAGGGCCTCTGGACAGGTGTTGGGTCCTGTTAGCCTCAGCCAGTTCCACATTTAGAACAAGAATCTGGAAGTAAGAGATGCAAAGATGGGGTCAATCCATCTCTCATGGTTTGATAACGGGGGTAAGAAGGGCCCTGTCGGGACCTCATCTCAGGGTCGATGAGGACGAACCCACGCAGAGCTCCCATTTCCATGCCTGCACTGCCCTGACCAGGCCTGATGGAAAAGGAGGAGATGAGTCTCGGGCTTGCTGAGGCTGGCTGTGGCTGTCCCAGGAAGGCAGTCTCCCGTCTGCAGAGGCTTCGTGTCCACCTGGACGCCTGGGACGGAGCTGTGAGTCAGAGGGCAGCACTGGTTGGGTACGTCATTCCGGTTTTGCATTTTGTTTTTAATTCTAGTTTATTTCAGAAGATAATACAACCACATGGTTCAGACTTTTTTTTTTTTTTGAGAGGTTTTTGCTATAGGGTGTGTGTGCTCGCCAGAAAAACAGAGAGAGACAGAGACAGAAGGCGAGAAATCCCCCGGGGGGGGGGGGTTGGCCACGCCACACTCCTCTCTCCTCCATTCTCCTCTGGGGATCTTAGGCATGCACGCACACGCACCTGGCGTGAGTTTAAGCCAC